CATTGAATACACATTGTGTAGGTTCTAACTGTATATTTATACCATGACATTTTAAGCCATTCAGTTCGGTTGAGTTGAAACCGCACCTTTCAAACACAAAACCAAATTATATCGAATTTTTTGGGATTTGTCCAAGACTCAAAATTCAAACTTCATTGCAAAACGAATTGCAGACGATGCCCTAATTTTTTGCAAAGCTGAATGCAATCAAGCTTATACTCTCCTTGGTATGCTGCACAAGTATCATTTATTCACTGGCCAAAAAGTAAATTTGCTGAAATCATCGATCTTCTTCAGTAAAAATGTTCCTCTGCGGCTGCAATCTGATATTTGCCAAATACTAGAAGGGATCTCCATTCAAAGATCAACAAGGTACCTTGGCCTCCCTCTAGGAATTGGTAAATCAAAGAAGGAATGTTTTTCTTATGTTGTGGATGCTGTGAAAAATAGAATTACCAGTTGGAAGAATAAATTTCTATCCGGGGCAGGGAAGGAAGTGCTTGTGAAATCTGTTATTAATGCACTGCCCATATATATCATGTCTTGTTTTGTTCTTCCAAGGGGAATTTGCCAGGAAATCTCTAAGCTTAGTGCTGATTTTTGGTGGAGCAAAGGGGATATGCAATCTAAAGGAGTGCATTGGAAAGCCTGGGACCGTATTACCATTCCCAAACAAGAAGGAGGACTTGGTTTCCAAGATATAAGCCTTTTCAATGATGCGCTCATTCTGAAACAGCTTTGGAGAATGGTTACTCAACCAAATCTCTTGGTAAGCAGAGTTCTCAAAGCAAGATATTTCCCTCAATGCTCTCTTCTGCAGGCAAAAAAAAACAGCAATGCCTCTTGGCTCTGGAATAATTGGCTCAAAATCAGAGACAAACACAAATCAGGTTTCAGAATTCAAATTGGCAATGGCTGGTCCACGAGAATATGGCAGGATCCCTGGCTATTAGATGCTGACTCAGGTATTCCTAGTAAACTTCCAAATGTTGTCAATGATCTTACCTGGGTGGGGGAGTTGGTTGAAGATGATGGTAGATCCTGGAAAGAAGACAAACTGGAATTGTTGTTCTCCACTCGTGATAAAGATAGAATCAGGAAAATCAAACCTCTGAGCACTACTAGCAGAGACAAGTGGATATGGTCATTTGATCCAAAGGGCTTCTTTTCGGTGGCAAAGACATATTCTCATTTAATGCAGACTAAACTGAGGAAGATAGATGCAGCAGAAAGCAGCTCTGGTGCCTCCACAAACCAAGAAATTAGAAAGAGGAGCTGGAAACTGAATGTTAAAGGAAAACTCAGACATTTTTTATGGAAGTGCTACGCTGATATACTTCCAACCTGTCAAAACCTATGCAAAAGAGGTATGCTTATTGACCCTATCTGTTGTTTATGTGGAGAGGCGGTAGAATCTTTGGAGCATCTATTTTTTACCTGTCCTAGAGCACAACTTGTATGGAAACTTGCCCCACTTGATTGGGAGGGACTGAGCAGCAGCCATAACAACTTTAAAGATTGGTGGTGGAGAGCTTGTTCTTTAAACAAGAAGCTAATATCTGAGGAAAGGCTCCAGTTGTCCACTTATATTCTGTGGTGGCTCTGGAAGTCTAGGAATTTGTGGAAATTTCAAAAAATAAAGATGCCGGAAAGGGAAGTGGTGAGATCAGCTTGCAGAGAGTGGTTGGAGTTCAAGACTGTAAGGAGCACATAATCTTATTTTTAAGGAAGCTCTAGAGCTAGGTCCTCATGGGTTCAGTGGCTCTAAGTTTTCTTATATTCATCTGTATCATTTCTATGTTGCTGGTTTGTTTTCATGATCTGAAAGGAGCTAGTGTTTAACTTGCTTTCAGATTGGTTAGGTTAAGCTATTCTAGGCCGTTTGATCACGGTTCTCCTTGTTTACTTTGTAATGGGACTATTTAGTCTCCCGGGATGTAAAACTTTGTTTTGTGTTGAATGAATATCCTATCGTTTCGAAAAAAAAAAAAAAAAAANAAAAAAAAAAAAAAAAAAAAAATCAAACGGAACCATACCGAATACACTCGATTCGGCCCTTAAAGACTATCAACGTGGAAGCTCACCAGCCTTGCAAGTTGCATCCCAAAATTGACGTAAGCAGTATTCCCAAATATAAAGGAAAAAATCGAAGTTTTCGCCATTTATCGTTTCACTGTTCGCATCAGAAACTCATTGATCGTTTCATTACTCGCCATGTTTCTGGTCAAGGTAAGAAATCTATGGCCCTTTACTTTGTTCTGTGGTTTTTCTATGGTTCAATATTATATCGTCTTTGTTCATTTTCCTGTTTTTACTGATGTTGGTGACAGACATGGAGATCAATATCATTTGGGCTGTATGGCTACAAGAATTTCACCAAATCTGGTTTTATGTGAGTCCCATGTGACTAAGATCTCCCTACATTTGCTTAGTATTCGATTCTGCTGAGAATTCTAGAATTTCAACTTTATTTCATAGTTAGTGTCTGCTCTTGTTTTTTATGCAACTAATTTAACAATTAGTCTTCTCTTAAAGCAAGCAAATTGTTAAATTATGCCTGAAAGTATCATATGTGAACATATTACAGTGCACAGAAGATCATACATAATTTTTGTTAAATTGCATCCGCCCTTTTGCTTCTTTCCCAGTTTTGGTGTGCATAAATTATTGCTGTTCTGTTTTGGGTGAATGAATGTATATGATGATAATTTCTATCTGTTTATCTCAACTGAATTCCTTTTTTTTTTCAATTATCCTAAACCTTACAAAAATTGTGTTTGGATTTTGATATTGCTACCCCTTAAAAGTTGGTATTCTTGAATTTTGCTAGGTAGATTCAGAGTATGCTAGATAGGTCAGAATTTTCCCCTTGATCGTGTAGTAATTATGATTATCTTTCTAACTTAGGGAGCATTCGAAAAATTTCAACCCAGAAGATATGCAAATGCAAATTGAAGGAAAGAACTGTGTTGTCACAGGAGCAAATTCCGGCATTGGCTATTCAACGGCAGAAGGGCTTGCATCACGGTGAACATTTGTTACCTTTGACATTTTCTATATCATTCACATGTTTGCTAAAATCAGTGGAACTTGTGTTTGATTTTTACTTTTGTATGTTGGTCTCTTGTTATTTATGTTTTCTATTCAGTGGAGCTACTGTATACATGGTATGTCGAAATAAGGAGAGAGGGGAGGCTGCACTTTCAGAAATTCAATCAGCAACAGGAAATAAAAATGTTTACTTGGAGGTTAAATTGTTTGATTCTACTAAATATATATCTAATATATCTAATAATATATGTGTGTATGTACCAATTTTTATATGTGAACTCCTAATCCCTTTTCTTTGTCTGGTGATAGGTCTGTGATATTTCTTCCATCAGTGATGTCAAGTCTTTTGTTTCTAGATTTTCTTCAAGAGATGTTCCTATTCATGTCCTGGTATTTTTTTTCTTTGTTTATTATCAACTAGTTTTTGTGTAGTATTTATTTTATTTTTTTATCTTTTTTCCTTTAAGGCATAAAACTTTGAAGAATAACAACCAACCCATGCTGATGGTTTACATTATGAATTGATTACAAAGATCACCCCGAATTTTAGCCTTACTACCAACAACTCCAATTATCTTTTAGAATTTCAAACACCCCAAAGTGCTTCAAACACTTTTGAAACTTTATGATGACCTTGAAAATACACCTCTAAAATATATAAACCGACTGTCTAGGGGGTATGCCAAATCATAGTAAGGTTAGCATATCTTTGATGCATTTTCAGGTAAACAATGCTGGTCTGCTCGAGAATAAACGTCTTATCACCTCAGAAGGGTATGCAGAGTTCTTTTTATGTGCTGTCTTCCACTTTCTTCTCGTTAATACATCGATTCAATAATTTTTATTTTTTTTTTTCTTTCTGGATGCTGCTAGATTTGAGATGAATTTTGCTGTAAATGTTTTGGGCACATACACTTTGACAGAGCTCATGTTGCCACTGCTGGAGAAGGCTGTGCCTGATGCTCGTGTTATTACAGTTTCATCAGGTGGAATGTATACATCTCCCTTAATGGAAGATCTACAGGTATTTATTTATATATTGGCTTCTTTTTAAAGCAAAATGGTTTCTTGTGCTTGGTAACTAATATTTTGTCTTTACAGTTCAATGGTAACAAATTTGACGGGGTTGAACAGTATGCCCGCAACAAACGAGTTCAGGTAATTTACATTGTTTTTTACCATTTTGAATTTCAGTACCATTAGTAGGTGAATGCATTGTAATCACATGTTCCCAAGAAATTTACTTTGGAAAAATTGATCTATTGTTATGATAGAAGTGAATAAAACTCTACTGAGAAGCTGCACTTTTGCATATTTATGAAATAATAAGATTAGAATCCTTGAGCAATATTCATCTCCTTGTTCTAAGATTTTGTTTTAGCTATTCAGCACTTCACTTTTTTTTTTTACCCTTTTTCCCTTCTTAATTTGAAACATGATAAAATGATATTTTTTAATGTCCTGGTGAAATATACGGTTAATGTTCCCAACCACATACGTTTCAGATAAATAAATTTTGTAGCCACTTTTTACCTCTAAAGCTTTCATGTACTTCTGCTTATATATGAATTAGTAAGAGTAGAAACCTTCAGCAATATTCATTCCCTTGTTCAAGATTTTGCTTAAGTTATGCAGCACTTAACTATTTTTTCCCTTAAGGTGAAACATGATATTTGATTGATTTATTTATTTATTTTTTTTTTTTCCTTGGTGGAATATTTTGCACATGTTCCTAGCCACATATGTTCAGAAAAAGGATTTTTTAGCCAATTTTAATTCATTTATCAAATCAGTCTTCCCATTTTTCCTCCCACTTCTTGGGAGCTTGTACATATTTATGGAGAGAATTCATTGCAAGGCCGATGTTTCACAAAACTAAAAATTTAACCAAATAAGCAATGGAAGCTTTGAGTTTCATTTTTGTTGTAAATGACCACAAGGTTATAATTATTTTCCTATGTTTTATTTTTTTAAAACTTGCCAGTAGCTGATTTTGTTACATTGGGACTTCATGTTAAGTTTGTGAATGCTCCAATAGATTTTACAAGTGCAATTCAATTTCGTGTCAGGTAGCATTAACAGAAAAATGGGCTGAAATGTATAAAAATAAAGGCATAGGCTTCTACTCAATGCACCCTGGATGGGCTGAGACACCTGGAGTTGCAAGGAGCTTGCCTGGTTTCTCTAAATCGTAAGCCCATTTTCGTACCTACACTGCTGCATTGTATTTGTGGAATTCTCGATAATAAAAAAGCGGGATGGAATGAATAGTAGGCAAGATGAAATTTTCTTCGTTTCAATTTACTACAATTAGATAAAACTTGGTTAACCAAACAAAAGTGCAAAAAAAGTATATCCAATCGCTACTCATGAGTGTGTTTGTATACAAATTTTCTCAATTTATATTCAATTCCTACTCAAAATCTATCTCAACTTTAACTCCACTTCACTATTCTCTATATTATCAATATAATTAAATAATACCAACCAATCATTCTTACACAGCACATTTAATTTACTATTCATCCATTCACATAATTTTAACTAACTATGACTTCACATCATCTCTCTCCTACTTTTACATCAAATCAATTTTAATTATTTTATTTTAAATATTATTTTAGTATAAAATCAAAATCCCACTAATAACTAACCATACCATTTTTTTCAAAATTAATTCTAGTTAACAAATTTTTTTTCATTTTGAATGGATATATTTGTATACAAGCACAGGTTTTTGTATCCCTATTTTGTTTCATGTGTGCTTGGGCATTGCAAATCTAGTAATATCGAGAATATTCGATCAGGTTATCTGGAAAGCTTAGGAGTAGTAAAGAAGGTGCAGATACTGTAATCTGGTTGGCTTTACAACCGAAAGAGAAGCTCGTTTCTGGAAGTTTCTATTTTGATCGAGCAGAGGTACCTAAGCACTTGCCAGTTGCAGTTACAAATGGCTCGCATTCTGTTATAGACCGTATTTGTGGAAATCTTAGAGCATTGTCCCGTTTGTAGTCTTAAAAATTAAATTCCATCTTGTTTTTCTACAACTCTTATTGTAGAACTATTGTCCGGTTTATTTTATTTCGATAATATTGTTAGGTATTCATGTAGAAGTCTTATCACAAGTAGGAAGTGAAAAAATTGAAAATCAAAAGTTGAGCATGTTTGTTTATGAAATTTTCAAAAAAATTTAAACATTTTAACTCAACCACTTTTCTAACTCAACTTTAAGTCAACTCTACTATCATTAAAATTATTAATGTAATTAAATAATATCAATCAATCATTCATACACACCACATCAACCTCAATTCATTATTCATTCACTCACATTTTTTTAAACTAACCATCACTTCAAATCTCTTTCTCTTACTTTTATATCAAATCAATTTTAATTATTTTATTTTAAATATTATTTTAATATACTCACTAACAACTAATCATACCACCTTTTTCAAAATTAACCAAATCAAATCAAAAAATCTAAACAAAACCAAAACTAACCAAATCAAATTGAAAATATTTGATTTTACTTCCACATAAAATATTCTTACATAAAAATATTTGTGCATTAGACCAAATAATTGTTTTTTTCTATATTGTAGGAAACACACAACACAACCGAACTCATACAATACACTATCCAAGTATTATTTTCTTTATTTTTTCTTTTTGGTTTGAAAATTAGGTAAAATTGCTGCCTATAAATGCGCCGCAAATCCATTAACTAACAACTCCCAAGATTTCCTTCTTTTTCAACCAATATTGCTGAAACCTTTGTCTTGCGTATTCCAAGTAATCAAACTCGATGTGGTTCACATACGCCTGTGTATTTTATTATTGGGACAAATTTAAAACCAACTGTAACTCTAATTGAAACACAGCTAATTAA